TATATATATATATATATATATATATATATATATATATATATATATATCAGCTAAATTATCCGGCCTTGCCCTAGAGTTATTTTACTATTTTAGATTAGAGTAATTACTATTTCTATGTGAAAAAAAAATATTATGTTGATAAAAATGCACAATAAATAAGTTGCTTATTACTAATATGACTATTATTTATTTCTATTTATCTTTAGTTAATTCTGTATTAATTTATTTTGGCTTCAATTGGTGGTTGTTGAAATCAACATACTCAAAAAAATAAAATATTTCATAGGTAAAAATTTAAAATAAAATGTTTATTGCACATCTAGAATATTAGAGGTATCACATATGTTAAATTTAAAATGTTATCGTTTTTAGATGTAGTAATCATAGAGTGAGTGAGTAATATTTAAATTTTTATTTTTATTGATTATATGACAATGACATAGTTTTACTGTAATTCTGTAATAAGTCTTATAACTACTTTTTTTAAATTATAATTAACTCTGAATCGTAAAGCATTTTATATCTACACATTATATATATATACCTAGTCTATAATATAAATTACATTTAGATGGCTAAAATATATATTTATTTATTGTATTACTCAAAATCTATATTTATTTTAAATAAAATGTATTCATAACCATAAGAGATTTATTTACGTTTATTTTTTTTTTTTTTTTTGTCGAATGTGGTTAGTTTCAACTAAAATGTAAAAGTAATAAAAGTAAATAAAGTAATTAATATAAATATGTACGACTATTTCGAAATTATAGATTTGGACTGATAATATGGCATTAGTTATAGGTTAATTTTATACTTTTTTGGCTCCATAGTTCGATATATGTAGACACTTTCCTAATATAATTTGCTATTATAACAATATTTAAAATTTTAATATTTAATTCAATAAAATATTGAAAATTATTGTATACTCCATACATAATACTCAATTAAAACTCACTAACAAAATAATGCGATCAAACGCAACCATGTACATAAATATTTAATACATAATATAATAAATGTAAGATAACATAAATACATTTTCATTTTTTTTTGTATGCAATTGCATTTTATTCAAACTTTAATAAAAACAATTATATTTGATATCTACATCAATCTGCTGATAAAGTAACATAATTTATTGAACCATGATGCAAAATACTTAGAGACTGAACTATGTCGTCACGCCCATATTGATTTAGTTTGAGTACATTAGAATTCCCGGGAGAAAATAATGAACATAAAAAATTGTTTTTCTACATATTTATAGATTTTTTTTATCATTAGTGGAAAAGGTTAAAAAGATTAAAATAATATCAATATTTGCCCGGATATTTCATTCGTAACAACTATAAATTTAATAACTTGTTCTCCTCTCTTGTATGCAATTAAATTTAATATCAATTAAAAATAATAAAACTTTAATCCACATGAACTTGCATTCAGCTTATAACATAAGATATTTCACTGAAATGTTATGCAAAGCATTAAAAGGTTACGCCCATATGTATTTAATTTTAATGTGTTGCACGTATAGAGGAAAAAAAAATGTTTGTAATAAATTGTTTTCTACGAATTTATTTTAGATTTGTTTAGGTTGTTGGTTGATTATGAGAAGAAGAGGTCAAAAAACAAGAGTGTATCAATATTTGTCCATATATGTTTTATTTGCTGTATATTGTATTTATTTATAGATATTTGAAATGTTTAGATTTTTTTTAGCTTTTTTAAATTATACTGATGCTGAATAATTAATTTTAAAGCGAGTCCATTTAAATAGGATTGAAAATCTTATACACGCCTGTCTTCAAAATCTACCTAAAAGATGAGCGTAAATTGGTATGAAAAAATATATTTTGAAATAAATTTGAGTTTTATTGATGAATTATGTGATTTTTTTGAACTTTAAAGTATAATAAAACTATAATTTACACAACCCCGTCAACGACAGTTATAGTATGTAACAAATTAAAACGATAAAAATGAAACAAAATTAATAAAAAAGCTAATAGCTATTATTTTTTGGTTTTTAAGGAGCAACATACCAGTATGAATATTTTAAACGTTTTTACATGTACTTGGAGCAGCAAAATCAATTCAATTTTTTTCTCTATTATTATTGTGTTCTGGCGGTAGGTAGTTCTTATTTTTCCTTGATACATTTTGTTTCACTATTTTGATGATCTATAGAATTATGATGTATACTATAATAATCAACAAATATTCGGTTAAGTGACTGGAATAAAGACACTTTATTATATAGACGCGTATTCTCGTACACATAACGTACGTAGTAATTAAATGTACAGCCCTCAGCTGTTCCGCATGCAATAATATTCATAAAAATATTTTAAAAAACCAAAAACCGTTTGTGCTATTCGCAGGTGGCAAAACTCGTTGCGGCACAACTTGTCGTTCAACGACTGTTTCGTGAAAATACCCCGGCGACCTGACCGACCGGGCAAAGGCGCGTACTGGGCCCTACACCCTGCCGCTCTGGACATGTTCGAGAACGGTTCCTTCCTACGGCGCCGCAAACGGTTCAAACTGCCGGCCGCCGACCGGGCACTGTTGGAGGCCACGTTCGGCCGGTCCTCGTCGTCCGCCTCGGCCACCGACTCACCACCGTCGCCGCACGGCACGCTGGCCCACGTGCGGACGCCACCGCGCGACATGACAATGGTGACGTCACCAACCGTGGTCCGCGAACCCTCGTTGTCGCCGCCGCCACCGCCGCCACCGGCGCAGACGCTATCGCTGTCGCTTATGGCGCCGCAACCGCCATCCGTCGTGGCCGCGGCGCCCGACCATCACCGGCACAAGCCAAAACCGTTCACCATCGAAAGCATCATCGCTCCTGGCGGCACACGTCACTCGGACGATGTGCCGCCGCCGCCACCCGCCGAGCGACCGCATCGCCGGTACCCGCCGCCCGTGTGTTTGTCGACCCAGTCGCACAAGCGCGCGGCCGATCACGTCGGTGCCGGTGACGTGGACGGCGACGGGAACAACGGGTACGCCGCGTTGTACGCGGCTGCCCTGCAGAACCTGCTCCAACATCAGTCGTTCGCCGCGGCCGCCAACATGTTCCCCGGGCCGTCCGCTCCGCTGCCACCGTTCCTCTACGTGCCGCACCATCACGCGCCGGCGCTGCCGCCGTTCCCGCAGCTGGTCAACTTCACGAACTTACACGACTGCGGTACGGCAAGTATACGGTTTTAGATCCTAGACGTACTCGGTCGGGTGGACCAGCTCAGCGGTATCATTTACCCGTTCCCCGAGTAGCGCCCGACCCATGAGTTTCACCTCCCTCTATTATATTTGTTTTTATTCAAGAAACGTTACCAGTGCTGTCTCTGTAAGCAGAGGACGAACGGAACAACGTACAAATAATAAAATCGACGGTTTTAATAGAATTAACTATAGATTTTATATTTTTTGTAGAGTTCGCGACGGACGGTTTTTTTTGAGATAATAATCGATCAACAAAATGATAATAATATTGATAAATATAGAGAATGTTACATGGTGGTGGAATTGAAAAACGTGCGTGTTCTTAGTAGTAATGGGAAAAATCTGGATTCACTGAAGTTTGAAAATCCGGATTTTTTGATATCCGAAATAGTTCAATTTGTTTATTGTAAACCCGGATTTCGGGTTCTAAAATCCGGATTTTACATTGAATCCGGATTTCGGATTTGAAAACATTGAATTAGTATTCTTTCAAGAATTATTTATAGTAAATACAATATAATTAACCATTCTTAAGATAAATGATATTTTGACCTAACCTAATATCATATAGAAATTTTTGTGTAATATTAAATATATAAGTCGGATATCATAAAATACATTTTAGTTATGATTAGTTGTATCTCCAAAAAATAAAGGTACGTAGGACTTGAAGCGTTTACCAATTAATAAAATATCTTATTTAGACCACCATCATCTTGTCCGAGAATTAAAATACGACTAAAAAGTGGTGTAATGAAAGTTATATGATTAGAATATAGAAATTTGTAATAATAAATCCAAATCTATGATTTTTAAATCCGAAAATCCGAAATCTGGATTTGGCAGATTTTCGAAGAATCCGGATTTCATTCTCATCACTAGTTCTTAGTACAGAGTAATTCCTAGTTACTTGATGTTTATACGTTATGATAAATTCATAAAGATAGATTAATTGCTTTACTACAGATAAATAAATTGTAAAGTCACCGTAAGTCACTAATTGCCTTCTGAATTTCAAATTGTGGATATCATATTTAAAGGCAAGTTACTTCAAGATTAGTTCAACATCCTCCGTTTTATATGCCATAATATGCTAGCCAGGGCATAAAAAAATTAATTTTAACTTTATAACTTAACTTATTTTCATTGATATAAGCAAAATAAATAATAAATTACTTTTAATCGAATTAAAGTTAAGGTAATTTATAAATAACATTTACTATAGAATATAAAATATTCAATATTATGTTTCAGTTTTTGTGTAACTATGATGTTATCAATATTCAGTGAAGTATGTTTATTTTTTTCCTGTTTTCAATAATACTTATGATTTTTATTATTTTATACCATATTACTGGGTATTTATACAGATATTAAAAACTAATAATAATAATAACTTAAGTTTATAAGTTAATTGAAAATGTTAATTAAACTTTTAATTTAACCGAGTTAAAAACAATAAAAGGCTAACTGTTAACTTTTTAAAATGTTTTCCATCAACTTAGGTAATTCAGTTAAAAATTATCATTAATTTGGCTAGGCTTGATAATATGTAGTAACCGGTTTCGGATTCGTTCCAATTTTTTAATAAGATACTCTTGACGGGGGTCTTAGATTATTAACTTTAATCAAAAATTGATCGTATGAGGAAGAAATCTAAAACACGCAGTCAAATTGGATTTTATTAAGTTCCCAACAATTACGTTATAAAAAATCTAAATAAACGTATGGCTTATTGTTGCAGAGTCGTTTTTGTAACTATTTCTTACAGGTGTATCGATCACTTTTCATAGTTTGAGTGTGATATTTTCTTCTATGCATTTTAAAGCACTTACGTATATTATTATACTTAATTTTATCGACGAGACGGTAAAAATCAGAACAAAAGCGTCATACATTATGTTATACAAATCGAAATCGCATGTTATAATTGTACGTGGAAAATTGAGTATTAACGGAAACATTTGTATAGAGGAAAAAAAACTTTATTTAAAATTTTTTTTGTTTATAATTGTATATATAGTTACTTATATATACATAGTTTTCTATTTGCTATAGAATAAACGAAATTATGAATAAGACTATAAATCATGTGAGTTAGTTTTAAAATATGTTTTTGTTATAATATAATGAATGGTTTTTATGTAATATACATATATTACGTTATATCATGTGTACACCTTACTATACCTACGCACTGTTTGAAAGCCTCCGCGAACACTATTTATAATTTCCTGTTTTGATTTACATAGAAATTAAAAGTATCGAAATTTGATCGGATTATGTTTTGTATTTGTGAAATATCCAATTTACATTGAAGATTTTGCATATACCTTAATATATCTTATGAAAAACTATAATTAAAAAATAGGGTAGGTTAATCGGTCAGTATCATAGTGCGTATATTAGGAAGTTTTCAACAATTTTAGACACTGCGGAAGAAAAACAAATATTTTACACGTTTAAATCATAGAAGCGGGGAATCATCAGGAATACGTTTTGCGGTAACAAGGAAAACTTCAATAATACGATGATGCCGTTTTACAGTAAATTCTTATTTGGCATAGAAAACCAAGTGATTGAGTTTTTTGTTAACACTAAAATTTCGAAGTCATATAATATGTTTTTAATGTACATGTGTAGGTGCATCCTATTTCTAATTTATCGTGTAAAATTGTGAACTTATTCATTATGGAATGGAAATTTGTGATGTTAAGTCAAAGATAATATTCAAATGTTTCAATTAAATAATAGCCTAGTTATAGATCAGTCAATTTCAATAGCGACCAAAGCCCATCCAGTATTGATCTTATATGTATATATATATATATATATATATATATATATATAAATTAAGCTGTGTATCATATTGCATATGTTTTGTTGAAATCTTTTTTTTTTTTATCAAGCTTTTATTCAGAATTAACAATATATATCTGGACATTGTTTTACCGGGACTTTTAATCGTAACAACACAAATACAAACGCTTATATCAGACCGTCATTAAGTCATTTATTTATTTAATTACTAGGGAAAAAATTATAAATTCACAGCACAAGTTCATGCAATAATAATGTATGTACAATATGACGTTCGTAAAATATATGCAATGGTCCATTGTAGACTCTTTATAATAGTGGCAGTCAAAATTGAATTTTTCTGTGGATGTTGTTGGATATTTCGTCGGAAAAAAAAGTTTCATTGCTTCCATAAAGTATCTAATCATCGTAATATATATATGTACTATATAATGTAGCTAAATGCGCACTGAACGTATCGGTTTATGTTATGTATATTAAAACCCTATTACTTTTTTTACTATTTTACATGCCAACAATCGCATTCTACGTAAATATGCAAATACGTAAATATGTAAAAGTTTTCGTCAAATTATAATTTTTATTTTAATATTTCATCGAATCATTTGTATACAATAATAATGATAATAATAATAGAGGTATTTTTTACGTACTCGATCTGAAAACTCCCGAAAGTTAAACATTTACGGGTAAATGTATAAAATATAAATATATATTTATTATATATATATAATAATAATATATAATATAATATAATATATATAATAATATAATAATAATATATATATAATATATAATATATATAATATATATTTATATAAATATAAAAAGCCATAAGTTTTAAAATAATAATATTTATTAAACGAAAACGGTACAAATTTTCATGTTCATACGAATAATAATAGGAATGATAAGAACATGCGATTAGAATAACGATATCATGTAAATTAAAGCACTCGTGTCGTTTTGTGGATAAATAATATTTTATAACATAATAGTCGTATACTGGATTGGTGTTATATTAAATATGTATGGTCGACGGAGCTATATATACATGTATACACTTGACTGACCATCATGTTTTATTATTATTACATCGGAAACCGTTTATAACGACATCGTTTTATAAGACGTTAAATATCTGTTAGTAGTTACAGTCAATGCTAACGGTATACGACTTACCTGATAAAACGAACTTTTTTTTTGGTCCCTTCAATGTTATTATAAACCGTTTGTGTTGTACAATATTTGTATACACATTACACGCTCCTCTCGACACTTTTTTATAAAAATAGCCGTCGGAGGTCTATTGTTCGCATTAAAAACATGAAACGAGTGCACCAAGTCATATTATTTTTATACATAGATTACATAAAACTAAAGTCAAGTCCACACAAACGCGTACACGCACTATTATGTCGTGTTATAGTTTCCGTTGTTGTCATTGAACGTGTTAGTCATCGTGTGTATAGAGGCACCTACACAGTATAACGCGTCGTAAAGTATTACGTATTGTTTGGAAAGCTTATACATTAATACGGTGCGTTTAAATCATCATTATACTTATTGTACGCATACGTCACGTGTAAGTAATGTGTACACGTATCTAAGTCAGAAGAACAGATTTTTTTTTCATCTTGTTTGATGTAAAACACGATTGTTGAATGATATACACATACGTATATAATCCTTATGCTATACTCGCAATAGTAGGTTGGTGTCGTACATACAAAAGCTAAATCTTGTCTACCATAGCTCACAGGTGCCTCGTTTACGTTGAATTTACTACCTCTGTAAATATATTATGCTTATGTGATTGGTAGTTCTATATAAAATCATAAGATTATTATATATACATATATAAGTATACATATATTTATAAAATTACCTAAAAAAGTGTACTTAAAATTAGTTGACGCTCAGTAAATTGTACTATTAATTAGTTTATATGAGGAGACACTTATTTACTATAAGAATTAGAAAAAAAATTCACTAATATCTATATAGAATATAATAATATCTTACACAATAACGTCCATTTTGTCTTTTTTTCTTATCGATTTTTTCGCGTGCTTCTGGTTTTTTCTTAATTTAAGATTTTCAAACAAAAATTATTACTTAATGCGTCGTATTCAGTAACTGCGTTTATT